CATGTAATTAATTAGGTGAAGTATTCTTTTTTTTTTAAGAGGCAATGGGGGTTAAATGACTTGCCGAGGGTCACACAGCTAGCTAGTAAGTGTCTGAAGCTGGATTTGAACTCAGGTCCTCCTGACTCCAGGGCTGGTGCTGTATCCACTGCTCCACGTAGCTGCCCCCCCCCCCAAATATGTAATTAGAAAGAGAGGACATTAGTAGTAGGGGGAGGGGGCCGGTTATGAAAAGGCTTCATGCAGAGGATGGTATCTGGGCTGCATCTTCAAAGAAGGAAAGGTGTCTATGAGGTGATAAGGAAGCAATGGATTCCAGTCATGCCATCACAAAGTCAAGGAGACAGGAGATGAAGAGTTGTGTGTGAGGAACAAGGAAAAAGCCATTTTGGCTAGATCCAGATGCGGGCAGATGAGTATTCCCAATAAGGGAAAAGGATATGTGGGGGCCAGGTTGTGTAGGCTTTAAAAGCTGAACGGAGGGAGTTTTATTTCTAGAGTTGCTGGAAGTTGGTCGAGCAGAGAGGTCACGTGGTCAGGTCTATGCTTAAGGAAAATCGTTCCGGCAGTAATGCATAGAATGCACCTGAGTGATGTCTCCGCCCCTTTGAAAAAGAATAGCGCCTGCTTGTATGAGGCACACTGTTTGTTGTACCTTTATGGATTTACTGACCTTTTGAAATAACTCTGTGTCTTACCAAGAGTCCACCCTTCGCACGTCGGGATCCGCTGCCCCGAGCCATGTAAGGTCATGTGACAAGCTTCTGGCTGGCTAGTGCAGGAGCCCGTCACTTTATTGGGGTCGTGGGTCCCTTTGGCAGCCTGGTGAAGCCTACAGACCTCTTCTCAGAAAAATATATGTTTTTGAATGTATTAAGCTGAATATGTAGGGTTACAATGAAAACCAGCTATATTGGAATACAGTTAGCAAAAAAAAAAAAAGCTTATGGACCCCACTTTAAGAACCCCTGGTCTAGTGGGTTAATAAATGCAAAAGAGAGTCATTTCCCACCTCTAAGCCTCAGTTTTCCTCCTCTGTAAAACAGGGACAATAATACATTACAATGCTGTTGTGTAAAACGCCTCACCAACCTTGAAGGGCTATAGAAATGTCAGCTGTTATAAGCGAATTGTTATTTATATTGCAGAAGTGCCAAGGGCTCAACCCTGTTCTAGTCCCTTCAGGCTTCACTGATTTCTAATAATAATAGCTAATATTTATGTAATGTTTTAAAGTTTTCCAAGCACCTTACAAATATTGTCTCATGAGATCTGCACAATTCTGGGAAGGTGCTATTAGTATGTGCATCATTTTACAGGTAAGGAAACTGAGGCAGGCAGAAGGTCAATGTCTTTCCTAGAGTCACACAGCCAGTAAGTGTCTAAATGGGATTTGAATCGGGTCTTCCTGATTCCAGGTCCAGTGCTCGTTCCATTGCACCCCCTCTCACCTATAAAGAATAATACTTTATATTTCTATGGTGCTTAAAACTTTACAAAGTGCTCTGCATTATCTCGTCTGAGTCTCACTGAAGACCTGGGAAGGAGATATTATACCTATAGCTCAGTAAAATCAGGCCTAGGGAGTTTAAGTGACTCACCTAGGGTCACACAGCCATCCAGTGTCAGAGGCAAGATTCAGTCCTTGGTCTTCCTGGCTCCAAGCCCTACCCTTTTCCTACTATGCCCCACTACCATTAAACTGTTCCTGGAAGGCTTCCCAATAATCCAGTCCCAGAGCAAATCGATTTCAGAATAAATGGTGCTGGAGCTGTGATTTCATTGCCATAGGGAACTCCCAGGTGAGGAGACTCCCTCTACCAGTGCAGATGGCATCTTTCCGTAACATATAGTGTTGGACAGTTCCCTAGAGCCCTGAGAAGTTAAGTGATTTGTCCTTGGTCATCAACTAGTAGGGATCAGAGACAGGAACTTACATCTCCACTGCCAGCTCCTCATATGCTGTGTCACACTGCTTCTTACAAAACAGTATAGCAGACCCTAATAAAAAGATGTAATGTCCATAGCCTGCAGGTAATGAAAGACAGCAACAGGGAGACAGAGACAGAGAAGAGACAGAGTCAGAGTCAGAGAGTCAGAGTCACAAAGAAAGTCAGAGGCAGAGAGTAAGAAGCAAAGTGACAGTCAGACACGGCGAGACAAAGAGATGAGAGATGATGATGATGATGATGATGATGATGATGATGATGATGATGATGATTATTACAAAGGATTTGGAAGGTGCCTGGTTGTAATAGAAAAGGTGACATGATGGAGTGCACAGAGTACTCAATTTAGAGTGAGAAGAGCCCTGGGCTCAAATCTCACCCCCTATACTCACTAGCTTTATGACCGTTGACAAGACACTTCACCCCTGAGCCTCAGTTTCCTCATCTGTAAAACAAGTATCATAGGATCATATGGCTGGAAGGCCCCTGAGAGATCCTCTATGGTGGGGTGGGGAGCCTTTTCATGTTGGAAGGCCATATTAATATTTAGCTATAATCAAATAAAAAATGTGAAAGGTGAACAAAAATGAATTAATAAAAATAAAAGGATCTGCTCTGTAAAATTTGGATTCCATCAGAAGGCCACACTTAAGGACCTAGAAGGCCACATGTGGCCTTAAGACCACAGGTTCCCCACCCCTGCTCTGATCCAACTCTTTCATTTTACAAATGAGGAAACTGAGCCTGACAAAGAAAGTTTGGGTAAGTGACTAGCCCAAGGACACACAAGTGAAATCATCTCCTCCCTCTACCCCTGGAATCCAAGGAAGAGCTGGCAGATTTCCCAAAAGTCAGAAGGAAGGAGAGAAGCAAGGGGCTTAATTTGTTCAGCATATTACAAGAACTGTTCATGTCCAACAGGTGATACAGTCCATCAGGACATCAGACTATCCTCAATCAGTCAGTAAATATTTATTAGGCACCCACTGTGTGCCAGGCATTGTGCTAAGTTCTGGGGATACAGAGAAAGGTAAAGACTTCACCACGTTTAAACAGAACAAAATGATTGGAGAGCCCTAGCCCCCAGGAGCAGCTAGGTGGTGCCACAGCACACAGAGCACGAGGCCTGCAGTCAGGAAGACTCATCTTCCTGAGTTCAAATTCAGCCTCAAACACTTACTGGCTGTGGGACCTTGGGCAAGTCACTTAACCCTGTCTGCCTCAGTTCCCTCATCTGTAAAATGAACTGGAGAAGGAAATAGCAAACCACTGCAGTATCTCTGCCAAGAAAATCCTACATGCAGTCATGAAGAATCAGACACAACTAAAAAAACTGAATAATAGACCCAATTCACTTCCATTCTGCTTCTCAAATGTGTAAACTTCCATTGGTGAAAATCTTCCTAAACCACAAAATTGTTATAGATGGGAGAGAGAGAGAGAGAGAGAGAGAGAGAAGGAAAGAAGGAAGGAAGGAAAGAAAGAAAGAAAGAAAGAAAGAAAGAAAGAAAGAAAGAAAGAAAGAAAGAAAGAAAGAAAGAAAAGAAAAAAGAAAGAAAGAAGGGAGGAAGGGAGGAAGGAAGGAAGGAAGGAAGGAAGGAAGGAAGGAAGGAAGGAAGGAAGGAAGGGAGGAAGGGAGGAAGGAAGGAAGGAAGAAAAGCCTTTGTAGCACTTCTATGCTTTCCTAGCTAGGGAGCCAATAATATTCAACACAACCCCAGTCACAGAGATCAAGGGACCAGCCAGAATTCACAGTGTTACTCATATCCTTTAGCAAGGGACCAGAACAGTTGTCCCCACTGGAAGGGGCCAAAGCTCATGGCATCATCCACGGAGAGAATAATAGTGCAACCCCATACCCTAAACACACACACACACACACACACACACACACACACACACACACACACACCTGCAAAGCACTTTGCATACTTTGAAACACTATTAAAATGTCAGTCATTTGTAGGAGAAAAGTCAGCAAAGAATCAAACATCTCTAACTTCTCCTTTGATTTGTCTCTGCAGTTTCCATTGTATGATTCAAGCCAACACCTAAGATGCCCAGATCCTACTTGAGAGGCAGTATTGGGTGCTGTTTATAGAAGCTGGACTTAGGGTTCAAATCCCATCTCTGATGCTTTGTAGCTGTGTGACTCTGGACAAGTTGCTTACCTTCTCCGAGTTTCTTCATCTATAAAATAAGAGGGGTGAACTCAATTGTCTCCCTTCCAGATCTGAAACCGTAACTACAGTTTCTTCATTTGTAAAATGGGAGGGGGCATACTCCATGACTTCTAAGGTCCTTTCTAACTCTAAATCTCTGATACTCCAACTGAAGAGCTTCAAGCCTAAGGATATTGGCCCCTTTATTAAAAAACAACTGACTGCCACCTCATTTTCCACAAAGATTGCGTCTAATTTCTGACGCTTCCTCTCTCTTCCCCATCCCCCAGCACAGCATCAGAAAGAGCAAATACCCAACCAAAAAGATGAAACTGCTGTTTAGGAAGTGCAGGCCACATCTGCAGATAATTAACTCTAGGATTCATTACCAATTAGGCCTATAAATCTCTGCTTACTTTGGCTCCTGGAAGGATGATTTCACTAGGGCTTTTTGGAGAGTCAGATGAGACAACAGTAAGAAATTCGAGCTTGAAAAGGAATACTTACCATCCAAAAGAGGACAGGATTTCTCAGTTGCCCAGGGCAGCAAAAACAGGCTTGACCTTCTGGGTCCTGAGTGCACAGCAGAATGGAATGACATCAGGCTAAGTAACAGCAAAGAAATGGATGCCAGCTCAGCAAAGAGGAGGTAGGGATGGTGAGACTGGGCCAAGGTCCAGAGCTACCAGCTAGCAGCCTTTTCATTCATGTCGGGGATCCTGTAAAACCATCCAGATTGGCCTCACCACCCACACTCAATGCAAGAGGAAGAGATTTAACCACTTAGTGAGTTTTGTGTGTTTGTTTGTTTTTCTGATTGTACTGTAGCCCTCCTTGGCTCTGAGATGAAAGAAGCAACAGCTGATGCCATCTGTGTCTTTTTCTACAGGTATGCTTATTTACTTTGGATATGGCGTATGGAACAGCACGCTGGAAATCAGTGCCCGGGAAGAGGCCTTGCACCAGAGCACCTACCAGCGCTATGATGTTGATGATCCCTTTGCCGTAGAGGACAGTTTCTCCTACGGCCCAGAGGGGGAGGGCCAGCAGGCCTGGGGAGACGCCACAGCTGAAGACAAAGGCTTCTATTACCAGCAGATGTCAGAGGCAAAGGAAAGCAGCCGGACAAGTAGCAAACCGAAAAGCAAAGGCAAACACAAACAGAACTCGGAGGCTCTGATCGCAAATGATGAGTTAGATTACTCCCCAGAGTAGAAGTCAATAAGTGAAGGGTGGAAGAGATGGTGATTATGGGCAAGCTAACCTGGGGGTTAGGAGGTCAGGGCTTTCTCAGCTGTCATTTGCAATTGTCCCATAAGTCAACCCCCCAAATCATAGCCTCTACCTTGCTATTTCCCTCTTAGAGATAATTCTGTAAAAAAAAGGTTTAACCTGAACCCTATAATTGACCCTGTTCTTCCATCTTCACCCCTCCCCCCAAACTAGCAAAAAACCAAACCCAACAAGGCTGATGGAGAATCCCTCTTCATTCCGACGTCAGGAGTGATCTGAATGAGAGTTTCTGACCCCTCTATTTTATCGGTTGACTCAAAGGTTCTTTAAGGCCCTGTTGAGACACCAAGAAGCATAGTCCAATGCTTCCATCCCATTGAGAGAGGTGCCAAAGCTGGTGGGTGAATGACAAGTCACCAGATTCAGCCCATCCTCCGAGTCGAGGAGGGCACAAGGCATGTTCTCAATCCTTTCCGCTAAGAGTCCCTCACCACAAGTGAATGGTGCAAACAAGTTAGCTGACATTTTCTTAGCAAGGAATATAATGTCTTGGAAGCTCAAGAAATTCTTGGACAAGACAGGTGCCTCCTTGTATTTACTAAGGGACTCTACCCACATGCACCAATGGACCAAACAAAGATCAGTGGATCTGAAACATATTCCCCTGATGGCCCAGATCTGCAAAGATGGAGCCATGTAGACTAAGTGGCATGGCCTGAGGTACCATAAAATTTTCTGTTAAAAACATGATGAGCTTCTGGGACAAAAAAAAAAAAGTCCAAAGAGCATGGGCAGAAATCATGGTAGCCACTGCAAAGGAAGTGAAGGGAGTACCTATTCCCCACACTGATGAAATCTGCAATCCATGGGAGCATTTGTTTTCAGAATAAGTTCAAGATATCTGACCAATACAAAGGTTTAAAAAAGAAGGCAAAGAATCTTATGGGACTCCGTGAAAAATTAGGCCAAATTTTCTTTATCACTGGATAAAGATCTTAGCAAGTAGAGGTACCCCCAACAATTAAGGTCTCCCAGAAAATTCTTTTCTGTTTTTAAAATAATGAGTTGTGCAGTACTTGGATATATCTAACCATTTGACTAGTGGGTGCTACTCTGAAAAATGTTGACATATGGCTAGTCAGATAATAGCATTCCACAAGCCTCCATCCCACCTCAGAACCAGCTGATCCAGGGGGTATACACCTACATACCAGTGCTCTCTTCCCATATGTTTCTCCAAGCAGTATCAGTGAAGCCCCAAGCAAGGGAAAACCTCACCAGGGGAGGTACTAGGTCTAGGCTGTAGTAGGTATTCTTACAAGGAAAAAAATAAAGCACTCCCCCCCACACACACACACCAAACAAAATGTGGTGGAAGTATTAAGAGTAATATACAACTAATTGGAAACTCTCCCCTTAGGTTTTTGGCCGCCTCTCCCCAAGGCGTCACTGTTCCTTGCATATAAGCTCGATCAAAACTGTTTCACATATTGCTTTCAGCTAAAATCTTTGCAAGAATGATCGGGGGGGGGTAGTTTTTTCTCCATCCTGCTGTTTTCCTAATTCCATCAAGCAGCAATATGCCCTGGTCTCTCTCTTTCTAAATGTCAGGACTTTGTATTCTCAGCCTCCTCGTTTGCTTTGGGACGATGGTGAGCAGACAGCTACCCTGTTCAGAGACAGAGCAGATCCAGGGTTGTCTCCCATAGAAAGGCTAGATTAGGGGTGGGGAACCTGCGGCCTCGAGGCCACCTGTGGCCCTCTAGGTCCTCAAGTGTGGCCCTTTGGCTGAATCCAAACTTCACAGAACGAATCCCCTTCATAAAAGGATGTGTTCTGCAAAATTTGGACTCAGTCAAAAGGCCACCCCCGAGGACCTAGAAGCCACATGTTCCCCACCCCTGGGCTACAGCATGCCATCTCAGATAACCATCGTTATAATCAAAACATGGGCTTGACAGGTAGAGCCATCCCTTCAAAATCACATTTGAAATTATTTCCCAGGAAAGCAGCATAGCTCATGAGTAGCTGCAATACTCTCTAAACTTATCACTACTCCTTTAAAGAAAAAAATCCTTTATGGTTATTGTTTTGAAATTTTGGTTTTCTGTTGGCTTCACCGGGATTCTGACCTCCAATCCACGATATTGTGTTTCTCTCATCTGAACTTCGCTTAGGGAGACCGCGCCTGGTCTGAAAGGAAGAGGAATTTGAAGGAGCAGATGGGTAATGAAATTCATGCTTTTATGTTCATGCTGCGCACTGGAGAGAGATAATCATTGGTAACCTTTGTGGGAGAAAAAAAGGTGATGGGTTTATTTTAAGACTCATCAAACCTACCTTGTTTGAATATATCCAATTGCATTTTAGATCAGTCTCTCAGCTGGTAGAGAGAAAGTAATTATTAATTAACATCACAGCAGGGAGAAAAATAGGGGAGGGGGAAATAGCAAAAATCTTAATGCAGAAAATAGAGATTGGCAGAGGTCTGTTGGAGGGTTTGGTAGGTGTTTTGCCACTATTCAATAGTTCAATTCAACAAGCATTTATTAATTACCTACTGTGTGCAAGGCACTGTTATAGGCACTAAGGTTACAATAACAAAATGAAAAGCAGTCCCTTTCCTCAAAGAGCTTATACTCTACTAGAAAATCATTGAAGTAAAAACTTAGAGGCAACATAATCCAACCCCCTCATTTTACAGATGAGGAAACTGGACCCCAGAGAGGTTGTGATTTGTCCAAAGTGATAAGCATAAAATACAGGATTTGAGCACAGGTGCTCCATCTCCCAAATTAATGCTCATTCTACTGCCCTATACTCTCCCTCCCTATTGGTGTACAAATAAAGAAATTCAAGATCATTTGAGAAGGGAGAGGAAATTAATGAGAAGAGATGGCAAGAAAGGCTTCCTATGGAAGATGGCCCCTGAGATCAGCCTTAGAGGAAGCTAAAGATTCTCAGAAGGGAAGGTGAGGAGGGAGGAAATTCTAACTATGCAGAAAAGTCTGAGCAAAGACACAGTGATGAGATGGGGCAGAAAGTTGGGGGAGCAATGACTAGGCCAGTCCAGTTGGAGCAGCAAAGAGTAAATCAAAGTAATGAACAATCAAAGTGCAAGAAAAGAATGATGTTTTGTGTGTTGTCCTTGGTAAAGTTCATTTCTTTTGCATAGATCACCAAAGCTCCTGTGATACTGGGAGAATTATTGCAACAGAATGAAAAGTACTCTTTCTCCTTAATAATGGATAGCAAGGCAATTGTGGGTAATTGGAATGTACTGATAATCCTTACAAATATCATTTTAGTCCATCATTCCACTCACCTCTTCCATGAAACATTTTACTGGGTTAAATTCATATCAACCCAACAAATATTTGTCTTAAGGGCATACTATGTGTCAGGCATTAGAGTGACAAAGATGAAAAGATCAGTCCCTATCCTCCAGGAGTTTACACTCTGTTAAAATTGCTAGGAAACAGAAAGTCTCTGCATATCCATGGTTCTCCATCAATCCTGTGACTGACTGGCTCGGATTCTATTTCCTGAGCTGTTTCCTTGCCAATTGCCTCCACTGGAGGTTCTCCTAACAGTGCCATAGCAGCTGGCCAACAAAAGGCAGAAAGAAGGAAAGAGAGAGGCCTATGGCTCTAATAATCCTCAGGTTAGGTGATCTGCCCCTGACTTGCTCAGCATTGTACAAAAACTGCTCTTTTCTAACAGTTGGTCTGTTGTGGTTTTTTTTTAATCAGACTAGGCTATTCACTGTCTTTAAAATAGAATTAAGTGATTTAAAAGAGCTCTAGGACCACCTCATTTTCATCCCACTTCCTAAATGTGCTGACTCAAGCAGTTAGCTTCCATTCACAAAAATCAGCCTCTTGGGACCAAAACCACAAAATTCATGGGATGCAAATTTGAAATTAAAGATTTGATAAAAAGCACTGGGAAGAAATCAGTGAACAAATCTATACTTTTTACAGCTTCTGTTTAGGTCCAAAAAACCCCCAGCAAATTAAAAAGTTCTTTCACTATACCTGTCATCCAAACTGTGCTAGGAAAGAATGCCGAGAGGAATCAGATAACTGAAACCATATCTGATAACGGCACAAAGTGATGTTGGCACCAGCTTCTCCTTTGCACCGGACCTGGGTGCTAGAAAAAGTCTGTCCTAGGCTATGAATGTCTGGCCTTTTCTTTACCATGAGCTTTTACTGTGATCGGTTGATGTAAAAACACAAGGAATTACAGAAAATCGTCTGAGTTCACAATAACAGAGGGAAGAGGTAAGAAATATGCCCATTTTATACAATATATGCTTATATTTTCATGTCCTACTTTTGGTTTCACCACAAGTCAAATGAGTCTAATAGCTTCAGCTGTTAAATTTTTACATTCCAATAGAATATAAGCTCCTTAAAGATAATGACTGTCTCGATTCTCCATTTGTGTCTGGTACATAGCACTCACTTAATAGATGATTGTTGACTGACTGATTGATTAATTGGGTATCCCAACAGAAATCATAAACGAAGGCATAGGTATGTGACATTTACATTATTCTTTTAATCCACAAGAAAAATATAAGCCATTGGACCTAATAATAATCTTTTATAGTTATTTGATCTATGACCAAAAAAAATAATTTTTATCATAAATAACTTCTTCAGATTAAGACCGTTCTAAATTAATGAGAATCTAAAGGACAGGAACAGGGACTGGATCTGTTACTTCATTATTATAGGGAACTGTTGGATAAAGGGATTCTTTGTGCCAAAGCAGAATGGCACCTTTTCTGAAACTTTTAGCCTTAGAGAGTTGCTTAGAAAACTAAGAGTTTAAGTGGCTTGCCCGCAGGGTCATAGAGCCAATATGTGTCAGAAGCTGCATTTGAACTCAGGTCTACTTGGCTCTGGGACCAGCTCTCTGTCCACTATACTATACTGTCTCATTCATTTAGATCTGTCTCTTTTTTCTAAATTAATAAAAAATTATAGAATATTCCTTTCAGAATCCACTTCAGTTACATACAAGTTCCCTTAGCAGTCATCACAACTAACCTAGAGTTTTCAAGCCCTGCTGAAGCTGCTTTATTGACCAGATAGGGTCATCTGTAATTAACAAATCCATTGGTTTAGGAAGCTTCAAGGTGCTGAGATTGTTTCTACTGACTTTAGTACATTGTTTCTGAGTAAGACAAAAGGAAACTCCTACAAACATTATTCCCATGTTCTCCTAGAAATATTTGATACAAGTGACATAATTTAGGACACATTTGGCTGCAATCTATGACTAAGCCCCTGGCCTGTACTTCTTTCAAGGTTGCAAGATGGTGGAATCGCCCATCCTCCAAAGAATAGGCCACAGATGGTCAAAATAGCCAGGTGGAATTCCCAGAGCAAAAACGGAGAACAGGTGTTGAAATAAAGCCAGACCCTCCAGATCAGAATCAGTTCCCTTGAGAGGTGGGAGAGACCAGGAAATGTGGCTGAACCTCACGACTGAACCATGGCTATAATGACTGAATTGGGCAGCTAATGAACTCTTCTTGGACTTAAGGTATTCATATCACAGGCTGATGTAGAACCACCTGTGAACAATGTGACCTTCATATACTATAATGTCTGGACAGAGCCCATCCTTGAGAAAGGAGGAACTAACTCCATGTTTCATAACCAGATCTTTCTTTTTCCTCCTTTGCAGTATCCCCTTTTCCTCAAGTTGCAGCTTTAGCAGACATAATGTTTACACTAGCCTAAGTTATTTTGAATCCCATCTCTGATGCCTATTACTTGCGTAACCTTGGGCAAGTCTCAAGGTCACTCCTTGGGACTCAGTTTCCTCATCTTTAAAAAAAAAATTAGAGGACTAGGCTAGATGACCCCTGAGCTTCCTTTCAGCTTTAGATATGTGATCCTGCCTAGGTGGCCTTGGGAAAATCATGGAAATTTCTGGGCTTTAGTTTCCATCTCTACAAAACAGAGGGTTGGACAAGATAGCTTCTGAGGTCCCCTCCAATTCTAGATCTTGTTATCCTATGACTGTTGCTCCTGAGAAAATCTCTAGATTTGACCCTAGTCAAATAACCTAAATGTTATTTCCAGAACCATTAATATTTACATAGAATGAAAGGAAGGGAACCAAAATGGCCTCCACTGGTCAGAGGAAGGAAGGAGCAACGTGTATGTGTCCTATTAGGGAGACCTTCAAGCAGAGACTGAACGACCACTTGTTGGAAAGTTTGCAGAACGGATTTCTGCACAGGTCTCAGTTGGACGAGATGGCCTTTAAAGTCTTTTCAACTCCATAGTTCTTGGATTCTGTGATTCCCACAACTACTACTAGTCACCAAATGTTCTCCTTTTAGCTTTAATTCATGTTTTCTTTTTATTTTTTTAACCAGGCCTTTGATGTCATTGGTATAGGGAATTTCCAATGAGGAAAACTCCCTTCAGTGACACAGACCAGTGCCTCCTCTATAATCCATAGAGGTAAAGTGGTCTGCCCAGGGTCATGTAACCAACATGAGTCAGAAGCAAGACTTTAACCTGAATCAAAAATCAAGTTGAGTCAAGCCAACTCAGCAAACATTTATTAAGTACCTACTATGTGCCAGGCACTGGGGATACAAAGAAAGGCCAAAAAAAAAAGCAGTATATGTTCTCGTGGAACTCACAGTCTGATGAGGAAAAAACATGCAAACAACTGTGTATAAACAAGATATGTAGGACATGTTACCTCCAATGTTGTCCCTATATCAATATTTTGTTTCCTTTGAAAATTTATAAGA